TAGTCCCAGCTCCTTGGGAGGCTAAGGCAAGAAAATCACTTGAGCCCAAGAGTTGGAGGTTACTGTGAGCTGTGATGCCATGGCACTCTACCCAGGGCAATGGCTTAAGGCTCTATCTCAAAAAAAAAAAAAAGAAAAGAAATGACAAGACTATAAAGCATAGTGTGGTCCTATGGAAGTCACTCTGGTGCTATGTGTCCTTAGTAAAATCATGAACTCTTAAGTTGCTTTCCACAGTTCTCAGAAAAAAGGCTAGAAGACAGAATGCCACCAAATACCTCAAGTCAAATATGAGAAAGAAAGAGGGAAAAGATGAAGTTGACCGCAGATTTATATTAAAAGAGTATTAATTAGGAAAGTATGGAAAAAGGGGAGAACTTTGGATGATGGGATTATGACAAGATTTAGAGAAGCTCTTGAGTTCAGAAATGCTGGTGACCAGTGAAGGGGACAACAGAGCTGTTAACAGTGAAGATGTCACTGGTCCCCAGAGCACCAAAACTGGTATAAGCCAGATCTACAGTCCCATTAAAATTAAGAAGGGCACCAATACTGAAATATGAATTCAAATATGTCTTTGAGATCTTGATTCTACAGAACATAAAGGTGAATATTTTTCCTGTGTTTTGGAATTTGTGAATACAGTATCTAGAAGGCAAGAGTAATCATGCCCATAGGTAAGTACCAATTGATAGGTTTCTATCAGTCATACAGAAACAGGGCCACAGCCATCATGACATTTAGCTTATGGAAATTTGAAGATGTCTGGGTCAGTAGGCCAGACCTTTCCAGAGTTGACTACTGTCCTAAATTTGTCCATCAGAGGACGTGCCCTTCAATAAACCTTCTAGGAAACTCCCCTGCCCAAGTCTTTGTAGAGCAGGACGCTTTGTAGAGCATCTCAGAATGGACCATAAGTCACTGGACCAGGGCCAGGCACTAGATCCAAAGGAAGCTGTAAGTTAATTATGAGTCTGTGTCATGGCTTGGGTCAAAACTCAGTCCAAAGAAGGTATTCAATGGCTGTGGCAATCAGAGCGCCTCACTAAATAAATGTGGAGCTTGAAGTAAGGTAAAATTTAGGCAATTACGAGTAGGAATGGATACTTAAATCATGCATGGAGAGAAGTCAAGACATTAGGAGCCACAGCAAAGAATAACTATGAGGGAACAGAATTAGGAAAACTTTGAGAGGGACAAAAGACTCAGAATACATACAACGGGTAGCAGCAGCAGTACAAGCAGAGAGGCAACTGATACACTGTGAGCAGCTACATCTTATTCACATTGGAACACAGGTATAAAAATTAATTTACTTTTTCAGCTCTGGCCCCCAGGCTACCCTGAGTTAGGCCCAATTTACTTTTTCTGCTCAGGCCCCCAGACTACCCTGAGTTAGGCCCAATCTCCACAGGTCCCTGACCCACAGTGAGGTTTAGCTGACTGGTTTGGTCTGGGTTCCAACTTCATGAAGCCTTCATAGCACCCTATTTACAATAACTTAAGTGACTCTCCATCTAGCTTACAACTAAAAACACCCCCACTAAACCATCCTATGAGGTCTAACAATTAAGTGGTGAACTTTGGCTCAGCGCCTGCACCAGCCACATACATCTAAGGTGGTGGGTTCGAATCCAGCCCGGGCCTGCCAAACAACAGTGACGGCTGCAACCAAAAAAATAGCTGGGCGCTATGGCAGGTGCCTATGATCCCAGCTACTTGGGAGGCTGAGACAGGAGACTCGCTTGAGCCCAGGAGTTAGAGGTTGCTGTGAGC